TGGGGGCTCCGAGAGGAGCGAGCAGTTTCCCCGCCCAGCGCGTTCACTCTGGAGCCTACTGACCGCAAGGCGAATGTCAACGCTGTTAGTTACCGCCACTCAGCTCCCGGGCGCCGGGTGGCGCGAGCAGGGGCCGCCTCTCACGAGGTGGAGGAGCGGCTCAAGGGAGATTCCCAGTGCCTAGGCGGTGGGAGGAGCCGCTCGCAATGCGGGGAAGAACGGGGCGCGGGGGGGTCACTAGCCCCTTTAAACCTGCCCATGTCCCTGTGACTGGCCGGACGCGAGGACCCCGCCTACCTGAGAACGCTTCTGTGCGGCGCCGTGAGCCTTTCGGCGAGCACTTTCCCAAGCGCCCGGCCGCTCCGCGCCATGTTCGGCCCCGCTGCCTCACCTCCCCATCCCAGTCAGTCAGCCTAACGGCTGCCAGCGCCAGACCCGCCCCCATCTCTAGCAAGCCAATCACCGCGCAGCAGCCGCCCACACGCCGCCAATCACCATGTCCAAAGTCCCGCACGTCACTGCTATGTGAACCGCGGTGTCCTACCCTCGACACACCCTCTCCCACACCCACCCCATGACTCTGGTGCGCGAGCGCGAGACAGAGCTACGGGACCGCGCACAGTCACAAGGCTTAGGGCCGGCTTTGTCGGGGTTACATAAGGATGGGCGCACCAGGGGCGGGACGAGTGCTGGAATCAGCCCGTTGATTGGCCGAATGGCGTGACACTCAGTAGCCCTTAAAGTTACACAGCCTGGGGTCGCGAGGAGCAAGACACGGTATTGCGGCGTGTCCCTCCACCTCCCGCGTTCTGCGCATCAGCGCGCGGGGCAATTCCCCCACCAGCCTTCCATCCCGTTCCCGCCTTCCAGCTCCCCCCACCGCCTAGACCCTGCCTCGTCTCCAAGCCTCCCCTTAGACTGCCCCGCCTGGTCTCGTTTCCCTGCGCCTCAGCCCACACCCCGTCTTGCCCTTGGTCTCCAGCTCCCGGCCTAGGGTGACCAGATGTCCCGATTTTATAGGGACAGTCCCGATTTTGGGGTCTTTTTCTTATATGGGATCCTATTACCCGCCCCAACCCCTGTCCCGATTTTTCACACTTGCTGTCTGGTCACCCTATCCCGGCCCCACCCCTCAGATCCTGCCCTGTAGCCCCCACCCATCAGATCCTCCCTAGAGCCCCCTTCCCTCGTCACCAGCTCCCCCTACCCCTCCTCAGACCCTGCCCTATAGCCCCCTCCCCTTGTCTCCTGCTCCACCCACCCCTCACTGCCCTATAGCTCCCTCCAATGCTTCTCCCTTGTCACCAGCTTCCCCACCTCTCAGGTCGTGCCCCTTAGCTCCAGCTCCCCCTCCCCACCCAGGCATAGTTTAACTTTTATATTTTTGGAGCAGCTCCAATCTAGTCAATAGGGCTGTGTATTGGGGGGGCAAATTCTGTGAGGCTTGCATTTTGGGGTGACAATGCCCCCCTGCCTCACAAACTACACTATGCTCCCTCCACAGGCCCTGCCCCTTGTCTCCACTCCCCCGTTCACACAATCCAGACCCAGCCCTGTGGTGTCCAGACTCTGCTCCCTTGCTGCCTGACCCCTGCTCCCTCCCCACAGACCCAGCCTGTGATAATGTTTTTATATTTATTATTCCTAAGAAGAACTGATGGTGCATTTAACTCCAAGTAATACTACTTTGTGCATAACCAGGAATAAGTTTACCTTGTGCATTTTACTCAAGAAGTACAAAGGAAGGTCAGTGCCTCTAAACTCTGCGGCTTTCAGGGTTGGAGAGTCAGCTTTGTAACCCTGGAGAAGTTACATACCTAAGCAGAGGCTGCATGTAGGCCTATTTTCCAGGTATCTGGGCTCTGTTTAGGAGTGGTTAATATACTAGGAACTGTAAGGAATAGTATTCAGAAGATCCAGTTCCACAAGCTGCCATAGTTAGGGAACTATAAAATATTCTCTGCCAATAAAAAACAAATTAGAAGAGTTCCTATGGATTTTTTTTTCCTTTGAGGTGACCAGCTGTCTTCATACACATCACTAACTACACTGCTAGTGTTCACTAGTGCCATATTTTGAATGCCCTTGAGAATTAAGGACATTTAGCACCTCTCAGAGTCAGGACTTTAGTTTATAACAGCAGAATTACAAGTTTGTATTATACGTTATATCAGTTTATTACAAAAATTTAGAATGTACATTAAAAATTAATAAAAGTGGGTTCAAAATAGGTATTACAACAGTTAAAATATTTATGGTGTTATCCTACACTGTTATAATTCCAGACTATTTTAAGTTATTAATTCATACTTGTACATAATTCATCTAATAAAAATACCAGTTCCAAAAGAAAGCACAAGACAATACCATTAAGAAATTACAACTATCTTACAATTATTTTAATAATCCTTAGCCTTTTTATGTACAATATGCCACTTTGAATTTCAGACTTCTCTTTACTCCTGAGGGAATTCTGTGCCACTGTGCATGTGCAGAATTTACATCCCCAGCAGATTTCTTTGCTTCCCCACAGAAAACTGACTTTCTGATGGGAAAGCAAACGGAAGCCACAAGAGCAGTCATGCGACCCTCCCCAGCAATATGTTTCGGGTATCCAGGGCAGCCGGCAGAGAGGTAAATCACTGAGGCAGGGAACAGGACTGGGGAAGACCCGGCTGGTGGCTCCAACCCTGCACCAGGCTCAGCTGCTAGTCCTGGCTGGGCTGGGGAGGACAGGACTTCCTCTTTCCCTGCATGGCATCTGGGGCCAGGTCAGACCCACCCCCCGATTTCTCCCCCAGTTGCAGGGACCTCTGCAAACTGCGCCCCACCCCTCTTCCTGCACCCATCGCTCCTCAGCTGCAGGAAGAAGGCTCCCTGTACAGGGAGCTACTCCCCCAGTCGCCCAACCCCCATGGATCCAGAACCCCTATACCCAGACCCTCCTTCTAAGCCTCACCCCCTGCACTCAGAACCCCCCCAATGAGCCCCACTCCCCCTGCACCACTCTAACGAGTCACCCACACCCAGATCCCCACCCCACCGAAACCCCAACCAGCTGCACCTGGATCCCCAGCCAACTGAGCCCCACTCCCCCAGCATCTGACCACCACTGAGCCCCACACACCCAGACCCCTCTACAGAGCTCTATCCTCCCCACACCGACCCCCTCTGCTGAGCCCCAACCACCTTCACCTGGACCCCCCTGCAGAGTCCCATTACCATTGCACCCAAAACTCCCCAACAAACCCGTGCATCCAGTTCCCCTCTACACTTGGATCCCCCACTGAGCCGCCTGCACCCAGGTTACCCCACACAGAACCTTTTCAACCCACCCCTGGATTCCCCCACATTAAGCCTCGCCACACTTGGCTCCTGCCTCCCCATACCTGGTGCACCTGGCATGGAGGGGAAGGTCCCTGGGGTGTGTCCGGGGCAGGCCCAGTCCTAGCGCTGTGTCAGGGTTGGGTGCAGCCTCACCACTGAGTCCGTATCCCAAGGGGTAGCTGCACAATAATCTCCCACCTCTGTACAGCCAGTGGCCTATGCATGCGGAGCCTCCACATTTATCTGACAAATAAAATGTGTAGAGTTTTTAAATTTTAAAATATTGTGCACAGAATTTTTATTTTTTTGGCGTAGATTTTTTTTGGCACAGAATGCCCTCAGAAATATCTCTTAACAGAGTTGTAAGTACAAATTATTCAAGAGTAGTGCCCTCCAAAACTTATATATAAAAAAGCAGGTTTTATTTAATCTTCACCCAGCCATGGCTCCTGACAGAGTATTGTACTGAGGCATAGAAATGTAGTGTTAAGTTGTGTATCACAATATAAAAATATGCCATGACTGTATTACATTAATAGGCTAATGGGTAGGGGGTTTTTGGTGCACTGTCTAATCAGCTTCTTCAGTCAAGTGTGCCCCCCACCAAATGAATTACTTTTAGAGCAGGGGTAGGCAACCTTTCAGAAGTGGTGTGCCGAGTCTTCGTTTATTCACTTTAATTTAAGGTTTCACGTGCCGGTAATACATTTTAACGTTTTTTAGAAGGTCTCTCTCTCTAAGTCTATATTATATAACTAAACTATTGTTGTATGTAAAGTAAAGAAGGTTTTCAAAATGTTTAAGCAGCGTCATTTAAAATTAAATTAAAATGCTGATCTTACGCTGCCAGCCTGTTCAGCTCGCTGCCAGGCTGGGGTTCTGTTCACGTAGGCTGGCAGTGGGCTGAGCGGGGCCTGCGTCCAGGACGCCGGCTGGCAAGGGGCCGGCAGCCGGGACCCCAGGCCTGGGGGTGGTTCAGGGGTCAGGGCAGAGGGCTGGGGCTGTGGGGGGGGGGGGGGGAGGGGGGGGGGGGGGGGGGGTTGGGGGGTCAGGGCGGGGGGCTGGGGGGTGTGGGGGTGCAGGGCAGAAGGCTGGGTGTGAGGGAGGAGTTCAGGGATCAGGGCAGAGGGCTGGGGGTGTGTGGAGGTGCAGGGCACAAGGCTGAGTGTGTGGGGGTGCAGGGCAGAAGGCTGGGGATGTGTGGGGGTCAGGGCAGAAGGCTGGGTGTGGGGGGGAGTTCAGGGGTCAGGGCAGAGGGCTGGGGGGTGTGGAGGTGGAGGGCAGAGGACTGGGTGTGTGCAGGGCAGAAGCCTGGGGGGGGGGGGTCAGGGCAGAGGGCTGGGGTGCTCCCAGCTCCCTGCCCTGAGCGGCTCATGGCAGGGGGCTGGAAGGGATATGCCCTGTCCCCCTCCCCAAGGTCCCGACCCTACCTCTTCTCTGCTTCCTCTACGGAGCAGGGAGCATCCTCCCCCTCGCAAGGGCCATCATCTGATCGGCGGCAGGGAGAGGGAGGAGGGGCAGGAAAGCACCACACTAGGGGAAGAAGTGGGGGAGGAGGGAAGCTTGGCTGCCGGAGAACCAAGCTTCTGCCTCCTGCCCCCACAGGGGAGAGCGGTGGGCGGGGGGGACTGAGTGGGGCTGGGACCGTGGCAGGCAGCAGCGTGCCACTCAAAATCGGCGTGCGTGCTGTGTTTGGCACACGTGCCGCAGGTTGCCGACCCCTGTATTAGAGCATGCCTCATTAATTTTACTTTAGTTTTTTTCAAAAATCCTTTTCTAAAAAGGGTTGTGTGGCTTTATGCAATGTATCTTCCTCTATGAAAAGTAGTTCTTACTAAATGAATGGGAAAACAGATTTGTAGATAGAACAAAATTTGAAATGCATGAGTCAAATAGTTCAATTGCAATGAGCCATTTTGAAAATCCTTGCTTACTTTTTTTAAAAGAGATCCTCTTCACTTGAGTCTTTTCAAAAGATATCCTCCTCAGAGTCATCTGTAGTGTCCTTGCCATTAGCAATTGCATAAAACTCATTATTAAACAAAGATATCATCTCTTTGGATGGTTGAAACTGGTTGCAGCAAATCTTATTTCGGTGCATATAGGCCCTAATCCTTAAGATATTTTCAAGTAGGCTGTCCTGCAGTCTGTTCTTTAACTTGGTTTTTATCAAGTTCATTTGTGAGATTGTACACTCCACAGCTGCAGTGCTGAAGGGCAAGGTGAGAAGGGCAAGGGCAAATAATCCTAGCTCAACAAAATCCTTATCACCAACTTCATCTGTGTGTTTTGCAACTTCTATCCAAAACTGTTCTATTTGGTTATCTTCTGTGTTTGTCCATGAGACTGCATCCAGATTTTTCCATTGCTGTTTCAACTTGATATGATCCCCTCTACATAAGGACAAAAAAGACAGGGTTGAGAATTCAGGTTTTGTAGGACTTAGAACAACTGAAGGGCTCAGAGCACTGAGAGATTCTAGATGATGGACATTTGGAGGCAGTCGGAGCTTTATTTGCTTAGCAAACTCAAGGATACAATCTCGACATCTGCTTTGGATGGTCTCTACTGTATGTGAGGAAAGATTTGCATTTATTAATTCAGACAAGAACGGTGATCCAAAGTTAACCTCTGAAAGAGGCATGTAGTTCCTGTTACAGTGAATGTCATAATTTACAATGGATGACCATGTTGTAAAGACACAAGGTTTCATGACTCTTTGCACCAAATTCTGATAGAACAGCATTAATTCAGCAATAAGGTTAACTGGATTAACTGTTTCAAATTGAAATAACTTGTTGATCCTATTAGCTTCCTGAATAAGAGGCTGCAGAAAAACAAGATAGAGTCTATTTACTGGATCAGAATACATTTGATAGAGAAGCTCAGCACTGTAGTCCCTTTCATTGTCTCTTATAGACTGAAAGTGCAACATCAGAGATTCATACTGATCAAGTACTCTGTTAATACAAGGGCTAATGGACAGCCATCTTGTCTCAGTAAGCTGCAGTATTTTCAGGAAATTCTCTCCAACACTGATGGCAGCATATAGTTCATGGTACCTCTTCTGGTGGAAAGTGCTATGGGAAAACCACAAGTACGTCCGTGAAACCATATACTCTATGTTCAATGGAAGCACATCAATGGCTTTTGAAGAGCACAAATAGAGAGAGTAACTTACATATTTGATGAAAACCCCACAAGGATTGAGTTCATAAAACTTTTTGAGCAATGAATTTTTATTTCCACATAAGCTTGTATTGAAACCATCAGCAGCAATCCCAACACATTTTTTTATGTTCAGCTTGTTGTCATTTAGAAATGTCAAGAGGGCTTCTGTGATAGTACCACTTCTAGTCAAGTTAATGATCCCTGCAAAGGATGATACAATACATTTAAGCTTGTTGCTAAAGTATCTTACTATCAAGCAAAGTTGCCTTTGTGCTGATACATCTGTACTTTCATCAATGATCAACGAGTAGTGTCCATTGCCAATGTCTCTCAGAAGTTCTTCGTGTACAGTAGGACCAATGACATTTCTAATCAGTGTGGAGCATTTTGTTCTATGCAGACTAATGTCCTTCTCTGCTATCCCTCCAACAATGCACCCTAGGTGATCCACTGTAAAAATGCTCATATGGCAAGCTATGTGTGCCGCTAGCTTCAGTGCACACACATTAACAGATTGATCCATTTTGGCTTGCGTGATATCATCGTCAAATGAATTTTGGTTTTCAACTTCAAATTCAAATGAATGTTTTTTCATATCAGAAGAACATGAAAATAAAGCAACATGTCTCTTGTGCTTTTTGGTTTTACTGTGTGCAACCAAATCACTATGATGGGCTCTGATTTCACATGCGCAATATTTGCACGCTGCCTTTGTGTCATCTCCTGGTACACTTCGAATCCATTCTTTTAATCCAGTTTCCCTTTCCCAATCTCGACAGTATCTTTTTCCATACTTTTCCCACTTCCCAAGTGGTTTAGGTGCCATCTCTGGTCATGTGTTATGGGCTTCCCCAAGAACATAAGATTCCTTAAAAATAAAAAATAGTCAATTACTATAAATCTCCCAAGATAAAAGTAACATGAAAAATCTGAAATCCCTTATTGGAGGATTAAAAAAAAAGGTCACACACACAAAAAAAAAAGAGGATTTCACCAATAAATTCTGACAACCAGTTCAAACTCTTCAAAAGGAAAAGGCATGCTAAACCTTAAAAAAAAATCCTATATGTAAGTGTAACTCAGGGTCCAAATATTCAAACCTGTTAAAATTTCATCTGAATATGGACTGCTAGTTCAAAAAGTTCAGAGGTACTTTAACAAAACTGGTAGGCAGCAAATTTTACAATTCCAGGATGCTTTCTTCTTCCCAAAAGGGAAAAAAGTTATATAGGACATAATTAACATGTTCCCTCAAGCTATTTTACTAATAAATGTCTTGTGCCTAATGCCCAAGACTGGGATTAGGAATTCTGGGTTCTATTCCCAGCTCTGTCCGGACTTCTTGTGACCTTCGGCAACTCACTTAAATCTCTAATTAGGCACCAAAATAAAAATGGACTGATTTTCAAAGGTGTTGAGGCCCTCAAGCTCTCACAGACTTTAGGGGAATTTGAAGATTATCAACATTTCTGATGGTCAGCCCATTTGTGAATTTGTGCCTAATTAGAGATTTAAGTGCCTAAGAGTAGAGACACAATTTTAAAAATTTTAACCTCAACTCTGTGTTTTGGTTTATCCATTTATAGGGACAATACTTTTCTACTATGCAGACGTTCTGAGTCTTAATTAATGTTTTTAAAGTGTTTTGAGATCTTTGGATGGAAAGCAGTACGTAAGTGATAAGTAAAAATCACTGTCTAGCTTAATAACATCTTACAATCTTATAATATTACCCAATATATCACCAAAATACTCTCCATATAAAAGATATTAATCCCCCCTCTTCCCAAAAAGTGCATACCCTGCATTAAAGGGAAAAAATGTCCACAGGTCATATTATACAAACTATATTATCAAAGCAAAAGGAGAATGGACTGCTCACGTGACTAGTAAGGGTCTATAACTCTTGAGGACACTGGTTCTAATCAACTCCAAGTTGGTTGGGGTCAGATTTTTAAAGGTATTTAGATGTCTAAAGATACAAGTAGGCACCTAAATACCTTTAAAAGTCTGGCGCTTGGTGACTGGAAATCATTGCTGCCTGATAGCTGCTTAGTGATCTCTAAAATTAGTTGATGGTTTCAGTCCAAAGCTGCCTACATCACAAGTTCCATCACTGCAACTATTACACTTGGTGCAGTCTTAGTAGAGAGGCCAAAGACAGAATCGGTCACATGGCTAGATCCACAAAAGAGCTTGGGCATTTCAGTGCCTAACTTTTAAGCACCTTGCCACCACAGCCTTGCTCAGGCATGTAGGCTCCCTATACAATGCATGAGAAGAGCTGGACATCTAAGAATGGGATTACAAAAGCCAGAATAGTGAATAGGGACCAACCTAAATTAGCCAATAGGAAATGCTGAGGAGAGGTGCCACCACTCAAAGGCACTTAGGTACTCAAGTCCAAGTTAGACTGTCTATCTCCACTAAGGATTCTTAGCCAAAAACTCTTTTCTGGAATTACAGTAGGTATCTACGCTGTTTTGTTTTTTGAAGACATGCCACAGAGAAGGTGGTGGAACCTCCCCTAATAATTTTTAGCTCAGTGATTAGACCAGGGGTCAGCAACCTTTCAGAAGTGGTGTGCTGAGTCTTCATTTATTCACTCTAATTTAAGGTTTCGCGTGCCAGTAATACATTTTAATGTTTTTAGACGATCTATTTCTATAAGTCTATAATATATAACTAAATTATTGTTGTATGTAAAGTAAATGAGGTTTTTTAAATGTTTAAGAAGCTTCATTTAAAATTAAATTAAAATGCAGAGCCCCCCAGACCAGTGGCCAGGACCCGGGCAATGTGAGTGCCACTGAAAATCAGCTCGCATGCTGCCTTCGGCACGCGTGCCATAGGTTGCCTACCCCTGGATTAGACCATTAACTCAGGATATAGATGACCCAGGTTCAATTCCCCCTCTGCCTGATGTGGAGAAAGGATTTGAACTTGGGTCTCCCATGAGAGTACCCTAATCACTGGCTATGGCATAATCTAATATGAGCCCCTCTCAGTTTATCCCGTGGAAGCTGTTCCACTGTGTATAAGTAATTAAATATGCACTGGAACAGAAAGAGAGTGAGAATGACTCTATAGCTGTTAGTGGCTTTGACACTCACCTGGGATGTGAGACATTGAGGTTCCAGTCCAATGGATATTTGATTATTTATAAAAGTGGAACAGTTTCAACAGGAGAGAAAGAGAGATACATGTCCCAGAATACCCCATAGGCCAGTGGTTAAGGAAATCACAAAGTAAAGGAAGACAAGTTCAATTCCTTTCTCCACCTCAGGGAGAATTGAACCTGGGTCTTTTACATTCTGGGTGAGTGAGTGCTCTAACCATGGGGCTAAACATTATAAGGGGGCAGCACCACCACCTCCTCTTTTGTGTAGGAACACGTTATGGATCAGGCTCTACAGGCAAGATAGGCAGAGGAACACTTAGTTTGAGGACCCTGCCCAGGGCTCAGGTGCCCAGACACCTAGACTGAGGTGGCTGTGCACGTGCTCACTGGCAAAACCCAGGGGACTTTACCAAGGGAAATTTAAGCACCTAGGGACTTTAGAGTGAGGCAGCAGGTGAGCAGGGATTTTGAGGATCTCAGTGGTGCTTAAACGTTGGCCTTAAGCATCTAAATCGTTTTGTGGATCTGGCCCACAGTGACTAAACTTCACTCTCACCCCAAAACTGATCCTGCAGACTGAGGCATAGGCCCAGCGACAGCCGGTAACCAAGGCAAGAACATCCCTATGTACTTTTTTTGTGAATACATCTTCAAGGATGTCAATGGTCATCTTTCATGAGCACTAAATTCAGTTAAAATCCCAATACGTCCTTGGTTTGAATCCTATTTTCTGCATCAATCTAAAAAAGAAGTTGGTAAACATCTTTGATTTTTAATTTCCAGCTCCCAAGAAAAGTTTCCTGGGATATTCAAAAAATGAAATCTAGCAACATCATTTTCTTTTCTTTTTTAAATAAGTAAAACAAAGTTTCAAGAAATCTGTGCAAAGAAACAACATTTCAACACAGTAAAAATACTCCAATGAAACATAAAATACATAGAAGACCAGAAGAAAAAATAAAGGGTGAGTATTTTAAGCCTTCAGAGCGTCAGACTTGATTTATTTAGTTATTTACAGAGTAGGAGCTTCTTTCTGCTGTTCCTTCTCTTCTGGTACCAACCTTTTCTTTATTCACAAGTACTCCTCTTGACCACCAAGTATTTTCTCTTCTCTCCGTATTTCTCTTGGTGTCCTGGGAGTGTCTCTATCACGGCTGTTGTAGAATGCTTACTCAACTCCATAGAAAAATTTTGAAATCAGCAACACTCCCTCTGTTCATTACCAGAAGATATCAAGATCTACCAAAAAATAAAAACCCAACCTAATTCTCAGCAACATATCTCAAGAATCAACAATTAGAAACAATCCTAAAACAAGTTGTAAAATAGTTTTCCCTCTGTCTATGTCAGACATTTCTAACATGCCCATCATTATAAGGGAAAAGAGCAGGAAATGCAGTCTCGCTGTCTACTTTATGTAAATATACTCTGATATCTAGGTGATGGTCACATTAAAAATCCCTAAAAAGAGTAGAATCTAAGCCCCATATATATTGAGACACATTAATTTGTCTGTAAAAGATCCTGTACTTCATCTCTGCTACTTTTATCAGTTATTTTAATTCCCGCCTATTCACCCCTTATGTGCGTTTTTTGCTTTGTACTCTAAACATTGTCAGGTTTGGTCTGGCCTGATTGATCTACAGAGCCCTACAAATCTGTGGATTTATATTCCCAGACCATTTTTGCAGATTGCAGATCAGATGTGAATATAAATTTTGTATCTAGAGCCCTACAAATCTGTGGATATCTGCTTTATATCCAAGGATGGGATGTGGATACAAATTTTGTATTTGTGCAGGGCTCTACTGATCTATTCCAGTAGGGAAGTTCCACATTAAAGGTGCTTTTCTTTTTTTTTTTATTAAAACATTTATATCACACCGTCCTAATGACCAACAGAGAGCTTTTTTGATATTATTTAAACCTGGTTTTCCTTTTAAAAAAAGAGAAGCCACCAGTACAATCAATCCTATAATACCAAATTAGAGCATACATTTGCAATAGAGGAAAAACTGACTAGAAAGTTAACAGATTCATTTCAACCTTCTGATTGTAAGTTAAAAATACTTTTACAATATCTAACACTTTTCAGAGTCATTTTATGTGGGCAAAGAGTGGTTCCTAATTGGAGCTCGCAGAGATGACCATATGTGATAGTGGATAATTAGTTTAAAAACCATTGCATTTTTAACATGCTGTATTTAAAACTGGTTCTATAGATAGCTGAATAGTGCAACTGTATGGGATGCTCCATTGGCAGCCAAAGCAGTAATAAAGCAATTTTTTTTTTTTTATAAACAAGAAGACTTTCAGAGTGCCTTCCATCTAAATAACCAAGAAAGCTTTACACGTAACTGTTAAGCCAATACAACAATTCTGTGAGGCAGGGAAATAGGCCAAGTCACTAACCATTCTGTTTCAAGGTGATACAAATTGGTGGCAGAGCTGGAAATTAAACCCAGATTTCCTTTCTCCTCGTCCGATGCTTTAGTCACAAGACAATGATAGAAAGTGATAAGAGCTTCACTAGCATGTACATGGGGATGTTAGGGCATTCAGCCCCTCTGGTGGGGCAAAGATGGAAGAAAGTCTCTCCTCACTAGCTTTATCATGTATTTAATTGTGAAAATATGTACACCATTGGCAAAATTTCATAAGAAATTGTAAGCTAAGAAAGGAAGCTGAGAATATTAACCCTCTCAAAAGTAGACAGCAATGGAGTTGGATTATGTTCAACTGATGGAAGGTCATCTAGAATTTGAAAGCAAAGCTAGATCTCTACATTTCAGATGGAATTTAAATGTATCAAGAACAGAGGTTCCCAAACTGGGGGTCGTGAGGTTATTATATGGGGGGGTCACGAGCTGTCAGCCTCCACCCTAAACGTCACTTAGCCTCCAGCATTTATAATAGTGTTAAATATAAAAAAGTGTTTTTAATTTATAAGGGGGGGGGTGCTGCACTCAGAGACTTGCTCTGTGAAAGGGGTCCCCCAGTATAAAAGTTTGAGAACCGCTGATCAAGAATATTAGAAAAGTTTTCAGGTGAAACGAAAAATGATGATAGACATGAACTATTCAATAGAAAATACACAGTAAGTTTTGGAAGTATTATTGCATCTATTTATATTTTTAGGAAGTGGTAGCAGAAGCATGAAATTCCTGCTCATAGCTCTACAGATGCTTTCACTACAGTGTTTCAGTGGCTAGGGTTCTTGGACTTGGAGACCAGGCGTCCAATTCTTACTCTGTCAGATGCTTCCTGTGTGACCGTAAGTCAGTGTATGACCATCGTACAGTGGCACTGCTGCAGCATAAACACATCCTACATCAACAGAAAGGTTTTTCCATCAATTTAGTTAATCCACCTCTCAGAGAGATGACAGATCAAAGGAAGAATTCGTCCCTTGATCTAGCTGCTTCTACAGTGGGGGTTAGATCAACCTAACTACATCAACAGGACGTGAAGTTTTTCATAGCCCTGACCAAGGCAGTTAGGTCCATTTAATTTTTAGGTGTAGACGAAGCCTCTGTCGCTGTGCCTCAGTTTGCCATCTGTACAATGGGAATAGCTGCCCTTCCCTACCTCTGCAGGTGTTGTGGAATGTGAGATAAATACGCTGAAGGCTGAGGCAGGGACCGGCACTAGGGAGCCATTTCAGTACCTAGATCATCCCTCTCCTGCGTTATCCCTGTCCTGGCTCCTGTCCATTAGTCGGTCGGTCTCTCTCTGGGGCCCCCTCTCACCCCCGCCAGCTCGGGCTCCGCGAGCTCACCCCGCGCACACCTGGGCTCCGCGCGCCACTTTCCGCCCCACGCCCAAGGCTCTGGGCGCGGGAAGAGCCCCCCGCGCACCGCCAGGCCGGGGGCCTGCGCCCTTCCCACACCGCCGCCTCCCCGCCACCGCTGCCGCGCCTGGGCCCCTCTTACACGCAGCGGACCCTGAGCTCGGCTCCCTGGCTCAGGGGGAGCCGGTAAAACAAAGGCAGCACGCCCCGGGCACCAACGCTTCCGGACGCCGCCTTCCCATCGCCGCTCAAGCCTTGGCCCGGGCAACTACCGCTCAAGCCGTAGAGGCAGCGCCCAATCAGCGCCCGGTTCTTCTGACTGACAGCCCGTTGTCCCAACAGGGCTGGATGCTTCCGCCCAGACTCTCTGATCGACAGCAAAGCCCCCCAATCGGCTGTTGTTCAAAGAGGTAAGGGCCCGGAGCCCCAAGGCGCTCGCTGCAGCCTTGAAGGAAGCAGCGCACGGAGAGCGTGCCTTCACAGCGCCACCTGCTGGGCGAAGGAGGGAGCAACTGCAATGTCATAACGGTATGAACAGTTAGAATCTATTGATTATGCAATTAATATTAATCATTTGTTAAATATTTATATAAAATCTCACTCAGTATTCTAACGTAACCTGTCCCCCTAACAAAGGATATCAAGGTGTTTTACAAACAGTGGCCCTTATCCTGCATCTGTATCCACTATCACAACTGCGTATGCCTAGATAGAGTGCTACGCAAGAGTTGAAGTCTGTGCTGCTCACAAATCCTGATGTAGGTTCAAGTAGGGTTACCATACGTCCGGATTTTCCCGGACATGTCCGGCTTTTGGGAGCTCAAATCCCCGTCCGGGGGGAAATCCCCAAAAGCCGGGCATGTCCGGGAAAATCGGGAGGGAGGGCTCAGCCGGGGTCGCAGTGCCGGGCCGGGCTGGGCGCGGGGCCGGGCGGGGAGCCGGGGGCGTGGTGCCGGTCCGGGTACGCGGGGCCGGGGAGCCGGG